CTGTTTTCCTTCGGGGTCTTTTACTCATCTTCTAATTCATAACTGCAATGACTGTCTGCAGTGCATCCCTCATCTGACGCACTTTGAAATCTTCAAAGTCTGCTAATTGATGCAGTCACTTTCAGCACTGCCTTTCATGTGGGTCCTGGATCTGTTAAAACAACCCACTTCAGCTATTCCAGTAGCTAGTGGGAAGAGATACCTTGGGTCTTCCCCTCTGAAGTGGGCGCGCAAATGCTTTTTAGCAACCATGAAACATGTCCATGTGTTTACTAGATCTCAGGGTGGTGTTTCTGTTTATATGCCTGCAGATGACCCCAGCTGGGAACATCAAAAGTGGACGGTGAGAAGCAGTTGTGTTTCATCATGGAGCTGCAAAATCTGTCAGAAATAGGGGGATGTATTAGTATTATTCAGGCACCCGCCCAGGTCCTGATAGCTCAGCTGAAACAAACAGTTATCTTTCCTGCTCTGATAGCTGAATCAGGATATGATTGTTTTACAGATGGTTTGAGTGGGGCTCTCAAACCACAGAGCTGAAAGAAAGAAAAAACAACAGGGAAGGAAAACAATCCCATCTGACATCATAGGGAAAGCAGTTGCTGAGATTTAGGTCAAGATATGGGGCGTCTGAAGTGTTCCAGATAGTTATGTCCCAAATGCCAAATGTCTTGGCCAGCTGAAATCATGCATTTTAAAGCGGAAAATGCAGTGAAGCTGAGTACAGTCTGTCAAAACCTGTCAGAATATTACATAACCATGGATTCCTTTGTTTAATCAGATTCACAGATTTCACAGAGGCAGACATTTATGCAATAGATTTACAGGTGCTGGTCATAAAATTAGAATATCATGAAAAAGTAGATTGATTTCAGTAATTCCATTTAAAAAGTGAAACTTGTATATTATATTCATACATTACATACAAACTCATATATTTCAGATGTTTATTTTGTTTAATTTTGATGATTACAAATGACAACAAATGAAAATCTCAAATTCATCATATCAGAAAATTAGAATATTACTGAAGACCAATAAAAACAAAGGATTTATAGAAATGTTGGCCAACTGAAAAGTATGAACATGAAAAGTATGAGCATGTACAGCACTCAGTATTTAGTTGGGCCTCCTTTGGCCTGTATTACTGCAGCAATGCGGCGTGGCATGGAGTCGATCAGTCTGTGGCACTGCTCAGGTGTTATGATAGCCCAGGTTGCTCTAATAGTGGCTTTTAGCTCTTCTGAATTGTTGGGTCTGGTGTATTGCATCTTCTTCTTCACAATACCCCATAGATTTTCTATGGGGTTAAGGTCAGGAGAGTTTGCTGGCCAATTAAGAACAGGGATACCATGGTCCTTCAACCAGGTACTGGTAGCTTTGGCACTGTGTGCAGGTGCCAAGTCCTGTTGGAAAATGAAATCTGCATCTCCAAAAAGTTGGTCAGCTGCAGGAAGCATGAAGTGCTCTAAAACTTCCTGGTATGTGGCTGCGTTGACCCTGGACCTCAGAAAACACAATGGACCAACACCAGCAGATGACATGGCACCCCAAACCATCACTGACTGTGGAAACTTTACACTGGACTTCAAGCAACGTGGATGAAGTGCCTCTCTTCTTTTCCTCCAGACTCTGGGACCTTGATTTCCAAAGGAAATGCAAAATTTACTTTCATCAGAGAACATGACTTTGGACCACTCACCAGCAGTCCAGTCCTGTTTCTCTTTAGACGCTTCTGACGCTGTCTGTGGTTCAAGAGTGGCTTGACACAAGGAATGCGACAGCAGAAACCCATGTCTTTCATACGTCTGTGTGTGGTGGTTCTTGAAGCACTCACTCCAGCTGCAGTCCACTCTTTGTGAATCTCCCCCACATTTTTGAAGGGGTTTTGTTTCACAATCCTCTCCAGGGTGCGGTTATCTCTCTTGCTTGTACACTTTTTTCGACCACATCTTTTCCTTCCCTTCGCCTCTCTATTAATGTGCTTGGACACTGAGCTCTGTGAACAGCCAGCCTCTTTAGCGATGACCTTTTGTGTCTTGCCCTCCTTGTGCAAGGTGTCGATGGTCGTCTTTTGGACAACTGTCAAGTCAGCAGTCTTCCCCATGATTGTGTAGCCTATAGAACTAGACTGAAAGACCATTTAAAGGCTTTTGCAGGTGGTTTGAGTTAATTAGCTGATTAGAGTGTGGCACCAGGGGCCATCGATTTTGAACCTTTTCACAATATTCTAATTTTCTGATATGATGAATTTGAGATTTTCATTTGTTGTCATTTGTAATCATCAAAATTAAACAAAATAAACATCTGAAATATATGAGTTTGTATGTAATGTATGAATATAATATACAAGTTTCACTTTTTAAATGGAATTACTGAAATCAATCTACTTTTTCATGATATTCTAATTTTATGACCAGCACCTGTATATATATATATATATATATATATATATATATATATATATATATATATATATATATATATATATATATATATATATATATATATATATATATATATATATAATCCTAACAGCTGGTTATTGTTTATATTTTTATAGATACATTTTCAGTGTGGGCCAAGGTCCAGACAATCTGGAATCTGGTTGATTATCTAGGATTATAGCGACCTGTTCCATAGCAAACAATTCCAAAAAGTTTTTATTCCAATTCTGTACATCAATGCAATTATAGTTACTTTCCTTCCATTACAACAATATTATATGTTTGGCTGTGTGGGAAAGTGTGGGAGAAAAAAAGACATGGTGCAAAAAATGCATTGATATGGAAGTTCAGAGCATTAAATATATATGGTGCAAATATGCAGTTTTTGGTTTGGTGTGATGCAGAGTCTGTGACATAATTGACAGTTTTCAAACATTTCTGTAAAATTTGGGGTTGTATAAAATGCTTCTTTAACTGTGATTCGGGGCCAACTTCAATAAGAAGGGAGACCGGTTGGTAATGTCTCTCTTCTGTAACCCTAAGCAACTTCTCTAGTCTGAGTAAGATTACATCTATGTCATTCCAAAAAAGTTAAAAAACAATCCACTGGACTTATTTCCAAGTTTGAAGACCTTTCGCTTTGCATCCAGGAAGTTTTTTCAAACTTGGAAACAAAGTCCAGTGGATTGTTATTGAACTTTTTTGGAATGAGTATGACCTAGGTGACAGAGAATCTTCACCAGCATTAGATTTATGTCAAAATCTATTATCATTTCTCATGGTTATTTAATAGATATACATTATGAAGTGTTATTTAAAGAGACTCGGAGAGAGAAAGCTTTAAGGTCTAAACACAGAGCATTAATTTACATTATTAATCTAAGTACATGCACAATTAATCACTGACCCACTAATTATGATCCAGCACCTGTTTCAGAATGTGTTCAGTTCGTTTTAAAGCTATAAGAGAAATAGAATGTTTTTTCCTTTAAAGTTAGTCTAATCTTCCATAGTGGGCGAGGAAATCAATTAGTAAATCCCTCTGGTTTTGCAAAGGGGAGAATATGCAAGCTTTCCTTATGAAACTGAGGATAAATTATCCATTGCTGCTATTAAGATAACAGTTTTAAAACTACAGCAGGTTTGGTACCTATTAAAAAAATCCAACTAGGTCACAATAACTTGATATACTTCATAAAGAGCAGAGTGGCAAGTATGATATGATTCAGTATACTAAATTGGGTGGTTGTGTATCCTATGGCTTGGATTGAAAATATTGATATTATAAGCAATTCTAAGTAATTTTAACAGAATTATACGTTCCAAAAAAGGAAAATTAAAAACAATTCACTGGACTTTGTTTCCAACTTTGAAGATGTTTTGCTTCCCATCTAGGAAGCTTTCTCAATTCAAAATGTCAGAAATAGCGTTGAGTTCGAGGTTTTATACAGTAGCCCAACAAAGTCTTGTTCAACCCTATTCCTGACATTTTAAATTGATCCAGGGCTTATAAGAAGCGAAACATCTTCAATCTTGGAAACAAAGTCCAGTGGATTGTTTTTAATTTTCTTTTTTTGGAATGACTATGACCTGGACGACTGAGAACCTTCACCAGCGAACCGGATTAGACCTTATTTTGGATGTTTAATTTTAAGCAAAAGCACATAGATCATGCAATACATTTTTATCTCTTTATTTTAGTCCAGGTTCTGCTTTTAAAACCTCATAAAGCTCCAATCTTGGTTTCTACAGATACAAACAGACAAATATATTCAGATTGTTATAGTATGTATTTAACAGGCACTTTTATTACAATTTTAAACAGAATGAACAGATTTATCAAAAAGTTAAAAGAAAATCATTGTTATTCAGAGAATCCCTTGTACAAATCACTTCTTCTTCTACTTCTTGTATGGTTTTATGGCAGTTGGCCAACTAGTTAAAAGTGCATTACCACCACCAACTAAAAAGGAGTTAAAAAAGGAAACAAGAAAAAAGACTCATCCCCAGAAAAAAAAATATACAAAAAAAAAAGACAAAAAATTTATAATATTTTTCCAAATTGAACAGAGGGAGTCACAGTCAGGGTTACAGAGGATAACACTGAAAAAACAGGCCAATCTCAAACATCTATTAACAAAGGGACATTTCTCTAGGATGGTGTCACGGCCGAATAGGAACAGACCAGGTGAAGCTATTATGAGAAAAAGCAGAGAGAGCATAATGTTAGAGATTGAACTAATAAATTCTGCAGAGTGGGAGAATAGGGATAGAATGAAGCAGAATGATGGGGTCACTATGCCCTCCAGCAGTCTATTCCTATAGCAGCATTACTTAAGGATAACCTGAGACTCTCTAACAATAAGCTTTATCAAAAAGGGAAAGTTCGGTAACTGCTCTCCTTCATACAAATCCCTGCACAGGGATTGATCAGAGGATTTGTGGTGGGAATGGGAATTTGTGGTGTTCTAGTAAGAAGGCGGGGCCCCGGAGCCTGCGGGCCTATTGAGAGGCAAAGAGGCGGATCATCCCCGCGATGGTCTGAGCTCCAGCAGCAGCAGCAGCAGCGGTACAGGGAGTAGCTTCACTTGTGCAGGAACTGACTCACCACCGCAGAAATCCGCTAACGGGAGCAAATGAAAACGAAAACAAGACTTTCCTGTGGTTTAATTTCGGGGCGAGGCGTTGTATCCAAACATCTGTACGTTTGAAGCACTTTGGATCGACTGACGAAGATCGGGACGTTACCTCCGGAACATTGTCTCCACCGAATGGTGTCTCCTGCCCCGCCGCTAAGGTTAGTTAGCTTCCATTGCTGGCTGTCGATTGCCTTGGTTCTGCTCTGTTGTTGGATGACGGGCTCTGGCTATTCTTTGGAGAACAAACACACATAGCATTATTCACCTTTTTTTTTTAGACTTCGTTGCGCTATAACCGCGCTTTGCATCGAACCGATAGGAAACGAAACGTCTACAAAGTGCCCAATCCTCTGGGCCATCGGACGAAAACATTTGCAGTTAGTTCATCACAGTCAGCTTCTTAATAATGTTATAAATCAGAAACACGTGCTACATGGCTAGGCTAAGCTAGCAGATAGCTCAAGTGTTAGCTAGGCTAGCTGTCAGAGCCGCTAGCGGCTGTTTTATTGAAAAGAAAGAATTCAACGGTAGTTTTTTCCTTTTTCACAACACCACATATTTTATAATTAAGCGAGTGTTTATCTGGGAAACATGCTGTCATCGTGTCTTAGTGTGGGAAAACAGTGAAGTTTGTTACTCGGACTGTTAGGGATAACGTTAACAGTTTGTAAACAGGGATTTTATTGGAACGCACGCGGTAAATCCTGTCATTAAAGGTCAGATCTGTTTGATTAATTGGGTAATAACATTTTATTTTTGACTGTATTTAATTGCCATCCTATTAAGGGAAGATAGAGGAGGTCAGTGATTAGCGTTGATGTGTGATTATCTCAGATTTGATGTGTTGCGGTTTATAAAACCAATGTTTATGCGGACATTTGAGGTTTAAGTTGAATCGTCACGAATCCCTTTCTGTCTTGTTATTTTAGGATAAAATGTGGGTAAAAAAATGATTTTATTATTTATTTCTGCTGTGTGTTCTCTGCAGCCAACTTTTTTTTTTAAATCAAGCGTCTGGCTTTCATTCATGAACACTTAGACACATCTGGACCTCATTACAGTTTCTGGACATCAGTGATGTAATCCATGTTAGTAGGAACTCGTTTATGTCAAAATATAGAAATCAGTTAAAATAAAAAAAGCTTTAGAATAGCTGTTAAATGACAGTAAGGTTGTTAATGTGCTGGGTAAAGGTTGTTTACAGCTTCATCTAATTTACATTGCACATGTGATCTCCATCCATTTGCTTATGTTCAGATAAGGTCCTTGATCTTTGATAAATGTTCTCCTGCTTCAGTAATTTTGAATAAATGTTTGTTAAATCTCACATCCCTGTTCTTTGTAACCAATAATTTATGTTTCTTACTCTTAAATATGTTTACAAATTCAGGGATTGGTGATAATCTGTCATGATCCAACATTTAGCCTGATAAACCAGACTAAATGTGAGATTAAATCTGTAATTTAGTCTGGTATTTCAGTGGCATTTTTAATTCAAATCCCAGCGCCACAGATTTACTTCCATAGTCTGGCCCCGAAGAATGAGACATTGATGAATGAGAAGATTGTTGATGAGAACAACCGGTTGTTTTTTAAACCATGTCTTTGCCTTTTGGTCAACGCTCTGACCAATGAGCAACTGACTGTGACGTGGTAAACGCAACAGGAAGCTGGTGGGGGAGTGTAAACAAACAGCCTGTCGGTAAAACGACGAATACGTCCTTCTCAAAAATGAATGAGCGTAGAGTCTCTTCCTGCTCACATTTAAACGAAAACCATAAGTCTAATCCTTCCAAAACTGTTTCCAAAGCTGAGTCAAACGGGAACTGTTCAATAGTTGTTGCCATCTTCCTTTTTGTCCTTTCTCCAGCGTCGCGCAGCTTTGTCGTCATGCCCTAAAAACCCCGCCCGTTGTGATTGGCCAGCCAATTCTAGGGCCTGGAGCGTTGATCGAGGCTAGACCACTCACAGGCAAAAATAATTTCTATTATTAAAGGGCAGATTATACTTATTCGCACACAACAAATGTCGCTTGGATCTGGTCGCGAACCAGTTTTGCTGGTATGCTTCTGCACCATCGGTCTGGAATTACTGGGGATGCACAGCAGTTTCCTGCCAAAGCACAATGGGGAGCCTATTTGAGAACTCGTGAGAACTTTGTGAGTTCAAAACTTGTTTTGGCTGAGACCTTGGCATGTTTATATAATTTGTCTGAGGCATAGTACAAGTGGTTGTACTTCTGAACGTCCTCGATTAACCTTTCATCGTAGTTGTCAATTGTAGTTATTCCTCGGTTTTTAGAAATGGCGCGCCCCAGCACTAAATCGAGAAGGACGACCACACAGACAGCCGGAAAGGCATAACAAGGATCAATCACGGCTGCTTTTTGTAACCGTCCGACACATAGAATTTTTTTGAGGTGCACGGCGAGATTTACAGAACCTCTGCACGGGGGGCGTGGTCGCACACAGAGAGATTTGATGGTTGCAGAGGCTATGCGTCAGAAGCATAAATTGGCCTCAATCCCAGGGTACATTGCAGACAGGTTGGAGGCTGGAAAACGTATATTAACCTATGGTATTTGGAAACTCTTGAGAATACAGCCTTCAAAAATCAGTATAACTGGGTGATGCAGTCAGTGACATAATCACTGTGGCTTAAGGTAAACAGCAGCTGCAGGTTTGCTCATAGTAACATACCTGAGAGTTTTGGTCTAGTGGTTAGAGCAGTGCGCTTGTGCTCTGAGAAGGTTACTAATACCTGATTATACCTAATTATAGAGCTGATTTTTCCCCTTTATTTTCATTAACAATCTAAATGCTTATTTTTTTCTTTAAAATATAAAAATAAAATTTTTGTTTCATTTCTTTTGAACCTCCAAATAAGGCATTTCAGACATTAGTACATTCTATTAAAATGTTTTGTCTTAAGAGGTATCAGAATATGAACTAACTTTACTCTAACTTGTAAACAGACAGATTATACTGCATGCTGTTAATGGCAAATAGGACAAAATTATTTTAATGAATACTTTTGCTCCAAGGGAAAAAAAATCATAATTTCTTTTAGTTTAGATCTATTTCATGATATTGTAGACATTCAGTGTAATTTATTACCTTTTTATTGTATTGTTTATTTTATTTTTCTAATTCATTTATTAATACTGAAACATACCCACTTAAAAGGGTTTAAAATAATCAGAATTAGTATCAATATGCAACATAAATATACAGTAATGTCATTGATAAAACAGCTAAAAATGTTTTTCATACCAAGCATCCAATTTAAGATGGAAATTAGATTAGAAATTGATATCCAGCTCTGAGGAAAACGCACACAAACACATCAAGAGCCCAGATCTAGATCTGATTTTTTTTTTTAACATTTACTCATGTAAATATGTCCCAGGCTTTATCCAAACCTGTTTTTTGTTATTATCTCAATATTAATATCCGACGCTTATGCACTGCTCTGTTGTGTAAAATTCTGGAATTTGTTTTCTCTCCAAATTTTGTAAGTCTAATTACTTTTAATGTAAAAACTTTCTATCTTTAAAAGTAATATTAACTAAAAACAAAAAGTTGAAGTCCACCTAATTCATCACCAAACGAGATGTTTGATTTCTTTCTTTTTTGTTCCTTTTTTTACGATATGACGGCAGCCAAAAACCCTCCGATTTAAAAACCCAGCAGATATCCACTTATAGTATTTATGTTGACTGTCAAACTTCAGGCATTAAGAGTGGGTGTCCTGTAACTTTTAGGGTGGTAGTCTGCTGACAGATTAAACTAATCCAATAATTAAAGCATTAGCAGCAATTTGTGGAAGTTGGCTTCATGCTAAAAGGGTGATTGAGTCATTTGAATGAGGTGTGTTGGACCAGGCATCTTAAAGTTTCTTCTCAAAGGCCCTTAAAGGCCGTATTTTGACACCCCTGGTAAAGCACAGCCCTTCTGGAAGCCTTTCCCTGCATACAGATCTGTGTCATGTTTGTACTACATTGAGCATGGCAGTCACTTCATTTTTCTTCAACATTTTATGTGTAAATTCAATGTTTGGGGACACCAGATAATTACTTTTTAAAATAACATAGACAGATCATCTAATTGGTGCAGTCCTTAATGTCCAGTTTGTACATTCTGCTTTTTGTCTGTGTCTAACTGTTGTTTCTGGTTATATTTATGATTTAGGGAATAATGGAGAGTAAGCAGCCACGAGATGTAAGGTTTTAAGTAAATGTGTTACATAGGGCTGAAGCATTTAAAATAGAAAAACTCATGATTAATGTATTGTTGAAATAATTGTTGACTAATTTTGTAATATGTTAATCGTTAACTGGATTATAGAGACTTTAAAACGTGCCTTTAGCTGACAGAGCGACCCACTTAGAGCAGTAATTATACTGAAATTGTAAAAAAAAAATATATAAACATTTTCTATTTAAGATAAAAAAATATTTTTGTTTGTCAACATGCTCTATCCATAACTCCTCAAGTGGAAAAGTTTTAGTTTAATCTGATTTAATTAAGTAAAAAGTCCTCTTTAAGGAACCTTTGCCTGTCCAATTATTAATTAAACAAATAATTGACAGATTTATCAAATTTGCAAAATATTCGTTAGTTGCACTGCTGGTGTTTGCATTTGTTTTTTTAAAAATAAATCTGATTGTTAACCAACCTGATAATAGCTACTGAATTAGTTGAGCTTTCTGTTGCTGTAGCTAGTCTGCAGTAGAGCCAAGTGTGGCTAATTCTAGCTCTATCAGAATGTTATTTAATGGGATTATTAGCTGATCCTTCAAATATGTCCGGATCACAAAATTTGTCTGAGTTCAAAGAAATTGGAAAAATGTAGCTACCTTCTTTAAATCGCCTGATGGGAAAAAATACAGTAACAGGGATGGAAACAGCTTTTTTCCTTTATTCAGTGATCCATAACGCTGCAGAAAACGCTGTCCTGGTCAAACCTAAAAAAAAACAAACAAAACAGTTTGACAGAAACCATACATTTTTTAATTTATTGAAATCACCGTAAATTAATATACCATTATTGTTGTTTTTATAACTGCCACAGTGCTTATAATGTACAATATTTGATTATTGTGCTAATATTCCCATTTTTTTTTAAGTAAACTTTGTTTGCTTGTCTATATGTAGCA